CCTAACGACTGTGGGAACCGGACAAGACAGAAACCCCAACAAGCAGGCCCTCACCTTACATTGCTCCTTCTTTGTTCTGGAAGATGCCTGATAGAAATGCTAATTCAAACCTACATGACAGCTAGCACACACAGCAGACAGGTAGCTGTGGATGTGACCAAAAGCCACTCACCTGGTTACCTAGGAGACAGAATGCTAATGTATTTCCCCTAAGTTAAATTTTGGTATAAAGACTGGAGAAAAAGCTAGAGAAATTCTTCAGGATGTGAACTCAGGACTTCATGAGGGACCAATGAGAATCTCCCTCCCAATAAAGGCATGTGAATTGTATCTTTATTTCTGTGCTGCCACACCAGTCCAGAGAGAGATAGTTTATGTTAGAGTCTAGTTGAAAGAAATAATTGAAGTTTGTGCTTCCACCAAAATCTGGCATAATAGGACCTATACATCAGGCTGATCTGCAAACACTAAAAAAACAGGAAAGAAGTGATCAGACATGAGGAGCCCATGAGAAAAAAATCAGTGGATATGTGTTGAAATAGGAGCGGCAGGGCTGCATCCCCGGCACCCGGCCGCCTGCATGGCTAGCTTATACCCAGAAATAATTACACGGAAACTGTATTCTTTCAAACACTGCCTGGCCCGGCTAGGTCCAGTTTCTTATTGGCTAGCTCTTTCATATTGTTCTAACCCATTTCTAATATTCTGTGTAGCCCATGAGCTGGCTTACCAGGGAGGATCTTAACCTGCGTCTGTCTGGAGTGGGAGCATCATGGCGACTCACTCACTAAGCTTCTTTTTCCCAGCATTCTCTTCTGTCTACTCCGCCTACCTAATTTTCTGTCCTATGAGGGCCGAGGCAGTTTCTTTATTATTACAAGACCCACCTCCATCAGATATGTGAGTATTGAGTGCTCAGAAATAGAGATCAGAATTTAAAGAAATGTAGAAAAGTGGGACAAAATTTAAATCAGGAAGAAAAAAATTGTAAAAAATTTATATAAATGCGATAGGGAAAAAGTATTCAGTTACATATGTTGATATCTAAAGGAAGTTATAAGAGTAGGACAGAAACAATGGCAGAGACATTAGATCTATAAGCATGATAGATGCAAAATTACAACTTTTATCATTTGCTAAATATGTAGGAGGTCCTTTTGATGGAGGAGGGAAAAGGTGTCTATGTTTTACTTTCATTGGTTAATAAAGAAACTGCCTTGGCCCTGATAGGACAGAAAATTAGGTAGGCAGAGTAGACCAAACAGAATGCTGGGAGAAAGAAGCTGAGTCAGGCAGTCACCATGATTCTCCCACCCGACACAGCTGCAGGTTAAGATCTTCCCTGCTAAGCCACCTCATGGGCTACAGAGATTATTAGAAATGGGTTCTATCAGTATGTAAGAGTTAGCTAATAAGAGGTTGGAACTAATGGGCCAGGCAGTGTTTAAAAGAGTACAGTTTCTGTGTAATTATTTCGGGTATAATGCTAGCCGTGCGGGTGGCCAGGTGCCAGGAATGTAGCCCGCCACTCCTATTAAAACATCCTTCTGTATTTGTATTGCTTTCATTGGCTGAATAAAGAAACTGCCTTGACCTTTTGATAGGGTGGAACTTAGATAGGCAGGGAGGACATAACTGAATTCTAGAAGGAAGAAGGCAGAGACAGGCAGATGCCATGAATTTCCGGCCTTAGATGGATATAGGTTAGAATCTTGCTGGTAAGCCACAGTCACATGGTTCTACACAGATTATTATAAACGGGTTAATCAAGATGTGAGAGTTAACCAATAGGAGGCTAGAGCTAAGGGACCAGGCAGTAATTTAATTAATACAATTCCTGTGTGTTTATTTCGGGGGTTAAGCTAGCAGGGTGGTGGGATGCAGCCTGCTCGCCTCATACTACATAAATGGGTAGAAAAAGTGAAGGAAAATGACTTTTTGCCCAAAACAATCACCAGTTTACTGCTGAGATTGAAGAGCCACGTGTGCACAGTAACCAGATAATCTAACACACTTGTGTGTGGGGGCGGAGCAAGCAGGAGATAAAAGTAAGTTTAGAGAACAAATTTAACCTCACATAGTCAGTACCCCAGAGTCAGTCAATAGCACAGAGGAAAGGATTCAGAAATTCTCCTAATTTTATGATTTACAAGTTAAAATAAAAAAGGTAGTTAAAAATCCACCCACAAGAACTTGAAAAAGGCAGGCTGGCAGGTGGAGAGAGCCTGTGTCCTATCCCCTCCAGTGAAGTGCAGCTTCAACTGGAAACTGAAAGACAGGTTTGAAATAAGGTAGCCTCTGAGAGCTGCAGCTTCAGGTCAATTTGATATAAATAAAAAGGTTAAACATGTTTGTTTTCCATTTCACAATTTTGTTTCTTTATCAAAAGTCTGCTGTTTACAGGCATGTGAATTAGTATCCAATGTGGATTGATTTCAGTACTGTGGATCTGTAGTGAAGTTTTAAAGTCATAGATTGTGATGCATTCAGAACTTCCTTGATTATATAGGATTTTAAAATTGATTAAGTTATCCTGAGTTTTTATTTTTTTCTTATAAAGTTGATAATTGTTCTTTCAAGGTCTATGAAGAATTTTGTTATAATTTTAATGGGCATTTGCGTTGAATCTGTAGATTGATTTCAGTAAGACTGTCAATTTTGCTGTGTTGGCTCTGTCTTAGCAAGAGAATAGGAGATCTTTCCCTTTTTTTTTTTTTGATGTCTTAAATTTCTTTCTTCAAAGATTTAAAGTTCTTATTATACAGGTTTTTCAATTTCTGTGATTAGAGTTACTCAAAGATATTTTATGATATTTGCAGCTATTGTATAGAATGATATAGCTCATTTATCATATATATAGAAGAGGTCTATTTTGGTTTGTTTTCAGATCCTGGCTATGATAAAGTATTACTCCTGTGAACATAGTTCGGCACATGTCCTTATGGTATGGTTGAGCATCTTTCGTACATAGACCCAAAAGGGGTATTGCTAATTCTTGGACAATTATATTTTCTCAATTCAAAGGTCAGAAAAATAATCTGGTATTGACAAAGATACTTGGAAAGTTGGTGTTGACTGACAATACTGAAAATTATGGTACTGGCAAAGATACTTGGAAAGTTGGTATTGACTGACAATACTAAGAATTATGGTACTGGCAAAGATATTTGGAAAAGTTGGTATTGACTGACAATACTGAGAATTACGGCACTGATAAAGATATTTGGAATGTTGGTATTGACCAACAGTGCTAAGAATTTTGATACTGACCTTTCCACTGCCAAGAAAAGTTTGACACACCCTGTAAATGTTGGGAGTTAATATACATATGTTAAAAATTTTAGATTTTGATACAATGTAAAAGATTTAAGAGCTGCATAAACTAGCTGAAGAAGCATTCTCAACTCTGGTGGTTCTCTTCTCCTTTAAGTAGTATACTGTAGCCTTTGGGAGCATGATTATTCATAAAGCATTATAATTTATCCTGACAAGAAAGTATGGCTCTAAGACACAGGGCCCAAAAGTATCTCTCTCCATTAATCTCTTTTCTTCTCAGAGATCAAAAGTCAATGACGGATTTGAAGCTTCTTCTCCCCAGATGCCTAGGACAGGAGCTCACATATTTGAATGCCTGTTCCAAAGATGGAAAATTTTGGGTAAATGAAAAGGACTTTGCCCAAGCCAGGCATGATCATTCTATCCTGTTGCAGAAGCACAGGTTTTATTAAAATTAATAAGACAGAGTGGATTGTAGGCCAATATTTCTATATGGTGTGGCTGCCAGGCTCTAAAGCCATAGGCCCAACCTGAGGATGGACACGTAGCCTCCCAGACAAGCCGTCGCAGCCTAACAAAAGGTCAGAATGTTGTTGCTCATTCTTTGTAATTTGGAGGATGCCTGATAGAAATGCTAATTCAAACCTATGTGACAGCTAGCATACACAGCAGACAGGTAGCTGTGGATGTGACCGAAAGCCATTCACCTCATTATAGGGGAATGTTAATATATTTCCCCTAAGTTAAGTTTTGGTATAAAGACTGTTTTGGAGAATAAAGTGAGAGGAATTCTTCAGGATGTGAACTCAGGACTTCATGAGGGACTACTGAGAATCTCCCTTCCGATAAAACCATGTGAGTTGGGTCTTTAATTCCGTGCCTCCACCCCGGTCCAGAGAGAGAGAGTTTATGTTGGGGTCTGGTCGAGAGAAATAATTGAGGGTCTGGGCTAGCATCGGACCCTGATAACTATAAGAGTTTTGCCTATTGCAATTCCTTAGGCAAACCTTGCTGCTGCTTCGATTTCATTAAATGTTTTTTTTTTGTTCACACATTGATTTCTCCTATAAAAGTCTGATAATTGCAAGATGTAACACTGAGCTCGAGCCAGCTAAGATAAAGAACTTCCCAAGTAAACATGAACAGTGAATTTTGCAATCAGGAAAAAGCAGAAGAAAAAAATACAAAGAGCCAACAAATCTTTACATGTTAACCCTTTGTTGAAGTTTTAAAAAGTCATTTGCTCCCATTGTTTTCCTACCCATTGGGAATGAAAGCCAAGCTTCCATGGGGTGAGGCTTTAATCATCACATTACACCCCCAGCTCACTCGTCAAGTTCCCAGCTCAGCCGCACAGTGGCAATTGTCAGACATACTCCTTTCTTTAACTCTTCATTTTCCCCTTTTGTTTTTTATAACATCTTCAAAAAGAGAAACATCATCTTGTTGATTTTGACAACTACATCTATTATGTTCCATATAGTGAAATGCTCTTTCAGTATTGGATGAGTCGTTTTATATAGAGCTAGCAAGAGTAAAATTACAAATAAAAAGTAGGCAAGTAGAGAGAAGTGGCAAAAAAAAAAAAAAAAAAAAAAAAAAAAAAAGCAAAACAGGGGCTTACAAAAACC